TTTTTGGTTTTTTTGGTTTTTTTGGTCCTCTGCAGACTTCTTTATTTTCGTCGAAAGTCTCAGAAAATTGTTTCTTGTTTTTTTTGATCCTCTGCAGGCTTTTCATGTTCCTTAACTAGAAAATGATTGAAAAACCTATGAATTAAAAACCCACCCCCCATGACAATCCCTTCTGTATATATACATAACGCTAACACACATAGTCCTTTCTTCCAAAGGAACATAAAAAGAGATTGGACAAGACATCGTCAGGTGTCCACATGGTGCCTTGTCAGGTGCCAAGACCTCATCCCCATCGGCCAAAGGACTGATGGCCTGCACAGGCAACTTGCGTTATTTAGACTAGGGAAACATTCCTTATAGTTGTTTATTCTTTTAGGGGGGTAGGCCGCTAGTAGATGTGAGGTAGGTTAGCTAGGTAGGTAGCTACTATATAATAGTAGAAGCTATATAGGGAATCGCTAGTACCTTACTTAAACTACTTGTATGGACGCAGGATAGTTCACGCTTCTTCAAGACGTGCTCGTACTATTCATTTGTTCCTAGAGATTTTTCCTTATTTAGACTACAGTAGGGATCCCTAACCTTCTGTATAGTAAAGTGTTGTATTGTGGTCCTGCGTAGCATGTTAAGCTTGGCTTGCACATCGGCAATTAAAAATACGTTCAACATCTTCCAGCTGATATGCGAGCTGAGGTTTCCCCAAACACCCTGAGGATGTATCCAATAAAGGTGATCCTGAGATTGATTTCATGTGGCCCTGTGTGGTGATGAAACTATCTGAATGAATTGATCTTTCTAGCGGCAGCTACTAGCACCTGCCAGACGTGGCGAAACTAAAGACAATGCACAACAACGTCCGAAGTTGTCGTGACGCTTGAGGCCGACTTCCTGACTGTGTTCATTGGATGCCCGGCATATTGTGAGAGCACAAAATGGAAAGCGTTTACCACTGCAAGTTCTGTTGGTTTCTGTTGCATGTCTAACAACCAGTTTACTGGTCTGCTCAAAGAAACATTGAAATTGATATGCAATTGGCCACGCAAGGGGGTGAGGGATCAATAAGCACAGCATCAATAAAACATATTCGACGGGGACCAAAAAAAGTAAAGGGAACAAAAGAAGATTCCAAGTGAACAACGCAAGGAAAAGGATACTAGGGAAAGGACAACAGCACCTGGGCGAGCGACAAGCGGACCATGAAAGGACGATTGCAACAAATAATCAACAAAATTAGGCGAGGGTGCGCAATACTTGCTGGTCGTGGCAGCGCATTGGCTGAAGGCACCACAAAATACATCACCGTATTGCCCAATCAATGAGGGGCCATCCACCACAGGACAGTGGAAGGGTGCTTGCAACCGTGCGCAACACAAACTCAAAAAGACTTAGGCGGGCGCGTACATTATTTTGTGAGGGCGATGGGTGCGTGGGTGACCTTTCGAACATCTGTCGTGGTAGGCCCAGCTCATTGGCAAAAGTGGTGCAGATTTCGTGGTGCTGGAGGGGGGTTAGGGGGGAGGGCGCAGCGCCTCCCCCCAGAGCGAACCAAACATCAAAAGCCATCAGACTCAAAAGGCACCACAAAATAGATCACCTGGGAGACCACTACACTCGAAGACTGGATTCTTGCTTTTTGATCCTTTATTGTTGTTCTTTCTGATCATGTCTTTGGTTCTTTTGATCCTTTACATGTCTACTTTTTGATCCAATTGCCCAAAGAAAGCACACTGCCGAATCCATTGACCGCTTGCCTGCTTGACATCCATCAGAACAATGCTACATTGCAAACCTGCAACCTGTTGTGGTAGGATATTGTGCTGGATGCTCCAAACTTTCCGTGACACATAGCAGGTGGCAAGACTGAGGTGCCCCAACCAAACATCCAATGTTGTTGCTGGCGATCCCAAGCTTGTGTGATGATCTATCAAGTGCACTTCAATCCAACTATTCGGATATCTGAGCTTGCAAAGACTGCATTTGACTGCAAATACCTTGTTGAGCCGCAACTGGTCGTCCTTTCCAGGCATGCCGTGGTGAACTTTGTAAGGCCCCCGGACATCTGTGGACTACCTCTAGCACATAGTATAAGTATATATAAGTGTATTCATAGTGGGCTTGGCCAAAGGCCTGCCAATGCTGTAAACGAACTCTATTCGATTCCTGGGCGTTGTCCGGCCTTACTACAAACAAAGCGGTTCCTTTACTTACTCCTCCTTACTGCTGATATGTAGCCTTGAGTCGGCGAGACAAACCAAAATGCCTAGTCTTGTACTAGTACCATTAAAAATGTTGCGCTCCTAGTAACGATGGCAAACATGTTAATCCATATTCTTTTTTCTTCGCTCCTTTTCTGGGCTCACGAGACGACCGCTTTGGGCCCATTATGTTAATCCATATATATATATATGTATGATATATATATATATAATATATATATACACCTATATTCATCTAGTCATTTAGTCATAACTTCAGAACAGCTAGTCAGCGATCGGTCATGCTTGAATGAACCAAGGCTTTGCAAGACCTGTTGTCCTTCTTCAAGCTAAGCCACCAAGAATTAAAACAGCGTTCGTTCTGGGTTCTGAGATGAGTTTGTTTCAACATAGATCAATCTTTCAGGAACCTGAACATTGACGAGGATTGTATGTCAACTGCTGCAGAGTGAGGTTTGGTGGGCTGCTTGTTACAGTTGGAACAGCGTGAAGGCTGTTCTAGGGAAAGGTCCTTTTCCGGCTTTGATGACCAGGGTTTATGCACCTTCACCCTTCAGTCTTGGCAGTCTTTCCGTGCAATTGGAGTTTTTTGCAGATCAACGGAAACTCTCAAGCCACGCGGGTACTGTGGTGGCTTCAACCTGAGACGAACAAAAATCTACGTTCAAAGTTGTTCAGATTTCGCTTGACGGTAATTGCTGGTCAACAATTAATAATCAACAATTTGACAACCCCTTTACATTAAGACTCTTGCCCGCAAAGCCAAGTTGAGCACAACGCAACAGCAGCTGATCTGAGTCCTTTGGCCAAACACAAGCAGCAAAAGTATCGAACTTGGCAGCAAAAACATCTGTCTGATGCATACCTTGTTGCATACACCGCCCAATGTCTACAACGGACATGTTCACAAAGCATGCAAGGGTTGCCAGTTCGCTACATTGTTGCGTGGACATGCACTCAAAACCGCTACCAATCCGAATCATGCTCCTCAATGGCCTCGTCCAGTTCCAAGCGCAAGCGCCGGCTCGGCCCATCGCTCTCAACCTGTGAGGCTAACAAAATTGCTGGCACATGTGGCGGATGTTCATGTGCCTAAAGTAACCGCTTCAAAAAAGAGTTCAGATTCCAAAATGATGTACTGTATTGCATGCGCTTGAATATGTGTCATTTGCCGCTGGCTCGAACGAATTCAAAAAACTAGCAGACACTCACCCAAGCAAAGTGTGTGATGATTTTGCACAATGACAATCATTCTACCAAAGAGAAAACTAGGTGTTTAAGTTTTCACAGAGGCTCCACTTGACTGCTCACACAGCTTGCCTGGACAGCGCGCGCTGCAAGGGCTTCACGGGCAAGAGTGGCGCAGAAATCTTTAGCTTCAAAGAACTGCCTGGACCGCTGGCACAAATTGACAGTCAAAGAACTGCTCTTCATGAATCTCAGGTGTCAAAAGTTCCGCCAGCTGTGCCACGCCACCTCTGTTTTTCATCCATGACCACGTTGGTGGCGTGATCTGTGCCCAAGAGCTGGGAACCATACTTTTCCCGCAAAGGGCGGGTCCTGGCCAGATTGCGGGACACGCACAGAAGCGAGCCGCCATAATTCCAAATTGCGTTTCTTGGAAACATGGCTTTGCCCACTGCCGCAAGAAGCGAGCCCACTTTTGTAGGTTGTCCTGCACTGGGCGCGACAATGGTTTGTCTTGCCAAGGGGTGGTTCCGGAACAGGATCTTGAAGGAGAATCAAAAGGGTTGGTGAAACTAACATGACCGAAGCCTATAGCTCAGCAGGTCACAAAAATTGAGGAAAGGAACCCACGTAAGCATTCTAGTCACATAGATCTCTGCCCAATTGCCAAACTGCCCTGTCACGCTGCCGCCCTCCCCGGCCGCTGCATCGGGGCGATACAGCTACACTCCAGTTCCTAGTAGCGATGCCAGGAGCCCCTAGTAGCGTCCTTGTTCCTAGTAGTAAGGCCAATAAGGCTCCTAGTAGCGTCCTTGCTCCTAGTAGCGATGCCAGGACACAGGACAAAGAATGTCGGGTTGGGCAAATGTACATTCGGCCCCTGAAGCTGGCACAAAGCGCCAACGAGTTGCTGCTCAAAGACAATCCGAATTTGGATGAGGTGAAAGTATGCAAGAGGGCAGGGCGGCCAAGGAGCCGAAACTCCGATTATATAGAAGCTACTAGGAACAAGAGGACGCTACTATTAGAGGCTCCTGGCATCGCTACTAGGAGCAAGGACGCTACTAGGGGCTCCT